GGGGGGGACGTTCGGAGTGATGGTGTTTGTCTTCCCAAGTCACCGTTACGTGTGATGGAGCCCTGCTTTCCTGGAGATGGCTGAACACCTGCCTGCCCATGGGAAGTAGTGAATGAATTCCTTGTTTTGCTTTGCTTGCATGCGCGGCTTTTGCTTTACGTATTAAACTGTCTTTATCTCAACCCATGAGTTTTCTTACTTTTACCCTTCCGATTCTCTCCCCCATCCCACTGGGGGGGAGTGAGCGAGCAGCTGTGTGGTGCTTAGTTGCCAGCTGAGGTTAAACCACAACAGTATGTTAGTAGGGCTGATATGGAACAGACATACGTAGCAGTTAGACACAGCCCTGAGTAATGCAATTTATAAAAATGAAGTAGTGATGTGCCTTTTACACATCTCTTAGTTAAGCCATAGGTGTTTTAGCTGGGAGGGTTTGGCTGGTGCTCCAACAGGAAATATGTCCTCATTTTGTAGGTAGAGGCTACTGTTCATATACTCCTTTATTATGTTCTATGTTATGGATGTTTTAGCGTCCAGAAAACTTAAGCTATTTAAGAGGCTGTAAACACTTATTCTGAATCAGTGAAATATGTAAGGTACTTTCACAGTTATGTAATATTTACGTGTCAGTAGTTTTTTTGCTAAGAGTTGCCAGGTAAATAGTTAAAAGTAGACAGAAAGATAGTGTAGTAAGGGTTATATAAAGAAGGCTTAAGCATCAGATTATACATTTTATGCCTGCAGTCGATTTAGGCTGAAAAAAGACAGCTCAGGGTTTAATGTGCATGAACTTTATGCTGTGGGTGTATTATGGACTCCTCTAGGTTTACAAGCTCCCATCAGGTTTGTTAGGATTTAGACTTTGTATTGATTCTTCTGGACTTAAGATTCAGTTATAAAGTTGCCACTCCTGTTCTCGGGGGGAAAAAATTGCTATGGTCTCCTTACTTGAAGGCTAAGCAGTAGAGACAACACACGCTGAACAGGAGTAGTAGCTGGTTTTTTGATTGTGAAACAAAAGTCATAAGTTGCATGTGTCCAAATTTTAAAGACATAGCATGTGTTTGATCAGGTAGAGGGAGGGAGTGCTAGTGGCGAGAGATCCAGATAATAGGATGTAGTTAAAACTGACTGTTGAAAAAAGTTACTTAGACTTGTTTGCCTTGCCCAGCCTGGGTTATTGGAACGAGGGATAGGTTAGTTAGAAATACTGTATGAGGGTAGATGGACACTTGAATGTAGCCATCGAAGCGGCTGAAAATCTCCATTCATTGCTTGAAGAATTCATAATGAAATTGGCTTGGTTTGGACCCTAACAGCGTGCAGATTTTCCAGCATTTAGAAAGAAGAGTAGACCCTTTACTGCAGATCATGAAAAAGGCTAGGTAGAGCTTGTAGATGTGTTCAGAGAGGACTGTTTTGACTTTTTTTAGCTCTTGAAATGGCTTTTGTGTTTGAATTCTTTTAAATATCTGTCTCTCTTCTTGTGCTAGGTAGCCGTGCCTGTCTTTGATTTGTGGCAGGCTTTGCACTGGATTAGCAAATTGGTCCTGCTACCAGTGTTTTGGAAGCAAATACCGAGTTGTAAATGTTTACTTCCTACTCTTGTTGCCTCTTGGTGCGTCTAGCACTTTGTCAAGCTTTGTCTTAAGTTTCATGAAGAGTTCTTGATTACAGTGTGTCTGTTCCTTGTAATTCTCAGAATGTATTTGCCACAGAAGAGATCCCTGAATTACTTCCCACTGGGGGTGTTCTCAGTAGAGAAATGGGAGTTGCCAGTATTGCTTCAGTAACATCTGTGTTAGTAACAGGAAGCAGGCCTGAATGGTACCTGCTTGCATGTCCACAGGAAGATGACAGAATGCTCAAGATATCCCCATGCCCTGTTGAGATAATTCCTTCCTTGAACAAAGTTTGCTGATTACCTTAGTATAATGTGTTTGCGAATACAAATTACTCTGGTAGGCATCTGATTGCGTCTTACCATAGGTATGTTTGTCTCCCAAACAACTTCTGAATTCTTCACCCTTTTAATATCAGTAGGTGACTTTCATTCAGAAGCTCAGTATGGCAAAGATTGATTTGGCACCTGACTCAGAAGACTGAAACCTGGACAGTAAATGGAAGAATAACAGAAACCTTTTTTGTGTATTCACTTTAAATATTCAGTGGTGTCCTTGTGATCATTCTGTGTTTCCCTTTCAAGTCCATGTACAGGGGAGTAAGTTTCTGTCAGAACTTTCTTTTCTTCTCCACAGTGCACCTCAAGGATATTTAAAGTTCTCCTAGCTAGAATCTTTCCCTACATTAGCATCCTTTCATATTCAGAAATTATATCTTCTTGCGGGGGGGGGATTAAACAAAAATAGCACAGATACCTTCTTTGGTCTGGACACCCCTCACAACAAAAACTACAGAGATTTGAAAATTTGACTGGTGCTTATGAAGAAGAGCTACAGTTGCAGCAGGAGTTGTGGAACTGTTGCTACTTTTTGTTGGCTTTTCTGTTTCTTTACCCTTTGTGCCTTCCCTTAACAGAGCTGCTTCTCTGACTATTGCAAGTATCCAGTACCCGATATGTGATACTGACATGGATATAATGGGCTGTTTGTGTCAAATAGCAGCTGCTGTGACAGCCAGGGTGTTCACCATGTGTGCTGGCATTCAGTGTGTATTGCACTGGCTACAAGATGAATTTTTACATTTCTAATGTGATTGTATGCCAGTTTGGTTTTCACACCACATTGTTTTCTCTCAAAGGGAAAACATATTTTTCTACTTCAAGCTTTAACTATTGCCTCTGGAACCTGTCAGCCTTGATCATGTAGATCAAGGATGTAGATGATGTGCTGAGGATGTAGACGAAGGTCCATCCAGGGGGTTGCCTAGGGTGAGGCAGTCAGCCCCACGC